GAATATCAGGTCTCCAAAGAGATCCTGCACAGACTATAGGAGTATATTGCTGGAGCGGAATTCCTTTACATCTCCTGTGAAGGATCGTCTTCTGGCCTTAAGTAACCTTAAGTCAAAGCTGCCACCACCTCCTTTACAATCTGCATTTGCCAGGTATGCCTCCAGTCCCTGGAACTAATAGATCCAATTTCTTGTAGCAACTTACTGCTTCATTTGTTCTCATAATTGTAATATAATTCTGATATTCATGTGTGCAGTCCAACACGACCAAATCCAGGAGGTGGAGGGGAAACATGTGCAGAAACTGGAATCAGTATTTTCTTTAGCAAGGTGCGAGGCAGTCCAAGAGTTTAGTTCTCTATTTATTTTTCCTGTAAATAACTGTAGAAAGTCTTCCTGATTGGAGAGGATTTGTGTTGTAGACTGTAGTTTATACTAATAACGGTTTATTTGGCATGTTTAACCACATGACCTCATAACTCTGCCTTATCAGGATTTATCCTCTTCTTAACCATAAATTTCTTTATCTAGATAAACAAGCTGGCGGCAGTCAGAATCAATGGTATGGTTGAAAGAATGCAACTGTCTCAGATAAGAGAGAATGTTTATCGTCTCTTTCAACAAATACTAGTTCAGCGGACATCTCTCTTTTTCAACCGCCATATTGACCAGATTATCCTTTGTTGTTTTTATGGAGTTTCAAAGGTGTGATATTACTTTCGACAGTTTTATGCAATGCTGTGAAATAATCTTCTTTTCTTACTCATGGTTTTCTGGTTGCAGATTTCTCAACTAAATCTGACATTTAGGGAAATCATATACAACTACAGAAAGCAACCACAATGTAAACCGGAAGTTTTTCGAGGCGTGTTTGTTGAGTGGCCTTCACCACGCCGTAATGGGGTACGATGCCTAATATTTACTCTATCACTGTTAGTTTTCTGGATAAATCCCAACCTTTCTTATGTTTTGGTTACAGAGACCCGCACAGGAACACGTGGATATCATAACATTTTATAATGAAATATTCATACCTTCTGTGAAGACCCTGCTAGTTGAGCTCGGACCTGCTGTTACAGCAACTACAAGAGCTAACGTGGTTCCTGAAGTTAACAACAATAATGATGGTATGTGTTTGTTAAAACGTATGTGTAACTGCCTAATGTATTTCCTGTTTCTTTTGGGATAATCATGTCTACCACTCCCTAATAAGCTCACCTTGTTTTACTGGCCAATTAGCTCCATGCCCTGGATCACCTAAAGTATCTACTTTTCCTAGTCTTCCTGATATGTCTCCAAAGAAAGTTTCTGCAGTGCACAATGTTTACGTCTCTCCATTGCGATCATCTAAGGTACTTGTTTAGTTTTCCAGAGTCGTGGGAATTCCATTTTTCTTTTTCACACACGTCGTCTCATAGAATAAAAGAGGTCATCTTTCATGTTCAACGCAAAGTTATGGTAACTTGTTCAATATGTTTTAATCTGCAACTTATTTAACATAACTAGTTTTATATTACTGGAATTTTGAATCTCAAGTCTTTGATGGGTCAACATTGCAGTTCTATTATGCCCTTTTTTGGTGAGCATTTGATGTGTCAGCCTCTTATTCTTTTCATTTGTGAAACCTCAAAGCCCACTGGCCTTAACACAAGTCCATGAGATACAAACTGGTTATATAAATTTATTAAGGGGAAAGTCTAGTATGTTGTTTTTGGCTCAAAGTGTTCTGTGTATTTCTTAGGACTTCGCTATATATTGCATGCGTGAATTCTCACTTTGAGCATACTTTATGAGCATCTGGCTCTAAGTCTCAGGACTCTCAATTTGGCCAAGGGATTGTTCACTTTTGTTTTTCCACTTCGGATGCAATATATAGATAGATTGAAGCGATGCAAGTGAAATCATGTCAATATTTTGTTGATTCCATTCTTTTCATTGTCATACCATTTGTATATATCAGATGTACATCAACTATCTGCATCTCAGTGAAAGTATAGTCTCATTTATGTTTTCATTAGGCTACTAAGGTTTGTCTATCTACCAAGTATGCAATATAAGGTCAACATTTTATTTCAAGAGTTCCGGGATACTGTATGCGTATTTCATGGACCATGTTGCTTGACTGAGCTAATGGTTCTATGTGACATGGTAGCCAATCGTTTAACTCAGGCAAATATGTACTGTTAGCTGAAGATACTATCACGTCTATCCTTTGGCTCTAGTCTTCAAGACTCTTGGGATCATGATAGTGTAGTAATGTTGAGATTCTCTCAATGTATTTGCATTATGTTTAATGAATTTCTGCAAAGAAATCAATTATAGGTTTCAAGTCTCTGAATCTGATTTCGAACGTCTGTGAATCTGATTCCGAACTGTTCACAGATGGATGCTTTGATATCACATAGCTCAAAAAGCTATTATGCTTGTGTTGGGGAGAGTACTCATGCTTATCAGAGCCCTTCGAAAGATCTCACTGCCATCAACAACCGCTTGAACAGGTATGCTTTTAGTTTATGGATGAGACTAACCAAGGTAAATTGTCACTAAATAATGGTTCCTCTGATGCATTAATTTCCCTTTCAGTACCCGAAAGCTCAGAGGCACTCTCAACTTCGACAACGTTGATGTAGGCTTGGTCAGTGATTCTATGGTGGCCAGCAGCCTGTACCTTCAAAATGGGAGTAGTGCATCCTCACCGGGTGCCCCAGTGAAAACTGAGCAACCTGACTCATAATCCAACGGCTGTATAGTTTTCCTCTTCGTAAATCTAGTCCTTGATTCTTCGTAGTTATTTTATGCATTTTCCGTTTATGACACAGGGTTCTGAATGAGCGGCCGGAGTTACGTAGAATGGCCGCCACAGGCTCCCTTACTTTCCCATGTACTGATGATACATGTTAGGTAGGTTTGCTAATTTGAATAAAAGTTTTGTTTCTCTTGTTTTCTTCATGGCCTTTTAACGTTTCAAGTAATTGTATCGCCATTCTTCTGTTGAATATGAGTTCGTGTGAACGTGAGTGTCGTCAGATATATCCATACTGGATGTCCCAATACTCACTCGATACACCCCGAATACGTATCTGATACTTCAAGTCCGTATTCATTGATGTATTTCTGTTTGGCAACATTTGAACTTTGGAGATACCCGTGTGCAAACGATTGACACATCCTGAAAAACAATGTATTTAATCATGTATTTTAAAGTTCTTGCAACAGAGTAAACGTGGGTGTAATTGTATTGGCCAATTCACTCTTTCTCGTAAACTCAATCATGACCATAACCCAATTATTCTGAACACTTTGTTTTTATTTTGGTTGGAAATGATGGTAATGGATTAAGTCAAATTACATACAAGGTTTGGTCAACGAACATAATAAATAGTCTTCCTTTTGGGTGGCCAGAAAGAACCAAGATTTCAGAATTTTAGTCACCAACTACAAAGCAGATTACTTCTGCTCACGCATAAGTCACAACTCAATTATTCCATGAAATGATCATTAAAATTGTAATTGCAATAGTTTTAAAACCTAGCACCCGCAAATATTATTAAGGGGTTTTTTTTTTTTTTTTTAATCACAAATGGTCTTTGAAATTCGTCCACGCTTTCAAGATGGTCCATGAAATTGAAAGTTGATCAATATAGTTTCTGAAAATAGATGTCACAAATCAATGTAGTCATTTCGTTACAATTCTGTAAAAAAAAATTTGTTATATGCTGATGTGGCACATAAAGAGGTCTCTCAATATTTAGGAATTTTTATCACAATGGTCCTTGAAATTGACCACACTATCAAGATATCATTGGAATTGAAAATCGATCAATGTAGTCCCTGAAAATAGGTATCACAAATTAATGTGGTCCCTCCGTCACATTTCTATTAAAAGTTCTATTATGTGCTGATGTGGGTATACTAATTTAGTAATTAACTATAAAATTTGTCAAAATACCCTTTGCCCAATGAAATATATCAAGGCAGAGCTTGTCGTTTTCCGCGTCAACAAGATTATTGAGGGAGCGCACAACAAGCTCTTCGAGATTAAGGTCGTGAGGTTGTCAATTGCCCAAATGTTAATAGTGATGTCACATCAGTCGTCGCTAGTTCAAGTTACCACCAAAGGTGGTCTCGATCCTCATCCAATATCAAAGAGTGTAAAGATGGGTGTCTTCAGAATTTGTTTTTCAGAGAAGAGATGACAGAGGCTACCATAGATGGAGGTAAAGGAGTGTGCGTTGGGATTGAAGGTGATTGCGTGACTGAGTTTTTGGGTTTACAACATTTTTAATTTGTTATTGAATTATTAAACTTATTTCTAATTTAGTTAGATTTGTGCAACTTATTTATGTGCCACATCATCGCATAACATAATTTTTGATAGAATTGTGACAGAAAGACCACATTGACTTGAGACACTTATTTCTAGAACTACATTTTTTAATTTTTAATTTCATAGTCCATCTTAATGTTGTCTGTCAATTTTAAAGACTGTTTGTGGTACATATCTTTATTTTAATAAAAGTGTCGTATAAAAATAATGGAAAGGGATCCTCTTTGGATCTCTTCCTCCTAATCCACCAAATAAGAGGATTCGGCCTATTGAAATTTGATCCAACGACTACAAACAAAGGCTCATTTTAAAAGTTTTACTAACTTTAATCTTTGAATCAAATTTTAATGGTCCAAATTTTCTGATTTTGTGGATTCCGAGAAAGGGAATCGAAAATGATCAATTTCAAAAAATAATGGTCAAGTGCTCTGTAGTGGTTGTAGATGACTACTTTTTCAGGAAATCTTTGTCATGTGGCTACTCTAATCTCGTCTGTCGAGATAAGAGAATCCAAAGGTTACTGTCCCCCATCAGGCCCAGCCCATTTTGTTTGGGCTAAATAAAATATTAAATATAGGTAATATTAACCCAATAAAATAAAAAAATAAAAAAAAATAAAAAAATTAGTGATAGAGACCACTGCGCCCGCCTAGTCTCTTTCTAGTTTCTACGCTCAGAATTCAGCGACTACAACTTTCCAGTTCATCTTCTACTACGTTTCACCGCTTCTCAGCCTGTCAGCCACCGGCGCACTCGCTCAACAGCCAGACAGCCACCGCCGACCTCTTCCAGCCAGTCGGAAGCAGCAGCACGGAGCCACTCCCCAGGTCGACAACACGCTGCAGATGCACCCAGGTATCTATTTTTTCTTAAGTCTTTGTTTTTATTCATTCTGATGTAAGAATTAGGTTTTAATATTCCTTAATTTGAAGATTTTGATATCATAATTAATTTCGAAAAATCAAATTTGAAATTGGGGTGTTTTAGTGTGAAATTAAATTTTAGGGTTAGGACTTGGGAACTATTGTAGGAGTGCATATTATTTAACTTGGAATTAGAAATTATGGATTTCGATTTGGTCTTATGTTAGTTAATAATTTAGTCGTATTTCAAAGTTAACATGCTAAGTTCGTGAATCCTAATAACTCTGCATTTGATCACTAGGTTAGTGTGGTGGTGTGATTCTCTATATTGGAAAAGAATTTGCTGATGGAATTGATACGGATTTGGTGATTGATGCTTTTGATGCTTTGAAGATGAGGAGGGCAGCATTTAAATAGTTTTACATTGTATAACATTGCGCTTTTGTTTGTTATATTGATATTTTGCTGTTTTGTTCGTGAGTTAGTTATCTTTTTATTGTTTCGGTTGTTTTTTATGTATAGATATGCATTTTGAGGGGTAACAGCCATAAGGCATCTATGTCCCCCTTGACTAGGTGTATCTTTTTTTGTTTATTAATAAAATTTACTCGTACTGTTGAGTATTCCTTAAAGTCTTGAATTAGGTTTGCAACCTCTGAAATGTATGATAACAACTTATATTGTTCCAAAATTTTAGCAATGCTCTCCGTTGAGTTAAGCAAAAAGTTAGCTTAAAATCCTGCCCAAATCTTGGTTACGCCAAATATATTGTGTGGTATGTTTATGTGCATTCAAACACATTCACAAGCTTAATCTGACGGATTCTTGGAGGTTGCATCGGTAAAATTTCACTCAAGTGAGCATGAATGTTCTTATATTTCCTTTTTTTTCCTTATTGTGCATAGGTTTTGTAGAATGAGACATGCTAAGGAAGAAGCGTCATGTAGTGCTACACAAGTAAGGTTCTCAACTACTAATAGTTGACTGTGTGAATAATTTATCTATTTATTTATTTTCTTTTTGTAGTTATCTGTTCATTAGGGATCCAGATATTCACATTGTCTTATATGCCCTGGATTTGTAATCCAAGTGGCCTATTATTTATCGAATAGTTCTAATGGATTTTTTTAGTTTTTTTATCAAACCCTAAGCAAGATGGAAGAATCTTGAGATTTCTAATAGACCACTAGAGTTAAGAAGCAAGGATAGCCTGGAAAAGGAGAGGACACGAATTTGTTAATTAGGCAACCAATTAGTCTGTTCTTTCCAAATTCAGTCTGTTTGCATGAATAAGTATTATTTTCTTTGCATGGACAGGTTATTGACTTAGTTTCAGCAGTGAAGGAGTTACATGGGATTAACTCTCAGGAACTTAATAAATTACCGAGGGACTCTGAAAGTTTTACTATTCAGTATGTTACTGAAAAAGGATCAATTTCAAAAAAGGTCAGAAATTATCACCACTGTTAGTATTTTCATACCATGCCTTTGTATCCTGACCTTTCTATAGATGTGTCATTTCTAAAATGTTGTTATTTTTCAGATTGATGTGGAAAAGCTTGCGGGCTTTCTTCCGCTGCACCTTATTGCGGTGCTTATGTCATCTGACAGAGATGAAGCTCTGTTCAAATACCTATCATGTGGTATCAGGCTTTTGCACTCCTTGTGTGATTTAGCACCTCGACATGCCAAACTTGAACAGGTTGATTGTAGTACTTTTGATCCAAGATTTATTCTCTTTCTGTTTTATTGTTTGCATTTCCTTTTTTACGTTGGACGCATAAAAGAATTGTGTAGCATGCTTATTCAATTCTGATGTAGTGATGTGAAACTTCGTATAATCTGTAGCATTAGGTGAATATTCAATAAGACATCTTCACTCTTGTCTATAAGCAAAGTTGACATCTTCACTCTTTTCTATATGCAATGTCGTGGCTGATGATTATCTTTGTAAGTTAGTGTAAGGGCAGGGTAATTTAATGTCCTCATATAAAGGATTGCCAGTAGCTTCTCTGACTTTAATTAAAACAAAAATGTACTTGTCATTTCGAGTAATAGGGTATGCTGTAGTTATAAATTATAATGTAACTCCATAAATGTTTCCAGAACTGATGAACTTTAATGTTTGAAGCACTTGGAACCTTTTTCTTAATGGAGGCACACAAATGTGATATTAATAGTTTTCTGGGTAGTTGCATAAACTTTCATTCTCTCATTCCAGTCTTATTAATGAAATTTTGTTTGAAGTCTGATTACTTCATTTCTATCTTTCGAACAGTTTGAAAACTCTTCTGAAAATAAGATATGACAATGAGACAACAATATCATTCATGGTTTCAGGTTCTGCTAGATGATGTAAAAGTGTCAGAGCAGCTGCTTGACCTGGTGTTTTATATACTAATTGTTTTTGGTGGTTATGAACAGGTTCTCCCTAATCCTTACTTTTAAGATTTAATACCCTTTCCCTTTATCTCTACTGAGACTTGCTTTCTTGATGCAGAAAAATCATAATTTTGGTATGGCACCCCTGATGCAATCTGCACTGGTTGCATGCAGTCTACATTTACTAACCGTTTGTATATCTTCGCAATGGCAAGATCTTGTTCAAGTATTGCTTGCACATCCTAAGGTAACATTAGCCCTAAGTGATTCTTTCAAGCATCTATTCATAGAAACGGTGTTTAATTGGAAATTTTATAAGCTCTTCTTATAGCCATATATTTCATGGTCATGGGATTATTCTGCAGTCTTCTGTGTTTGTGTTTTTTGTTGTAGTGGTAGTAGTTGTGGTCTTCATATGTATTTTTCCAGTTCTTCTTGTGCTACAGATTGATCTTGCTGATTGTAAAATTTGTCTGCTACAGGTTGATGTGTTTATGGATGCAGCTTTTGGAGCAGTTTGTGTTTCCATGAAGTTTCTTAAGATCAAGCTGTCAGCTCAACAGGATGATTTCTGTACAAAATCAAGTTTGACTAGTGAGCAAATAGTTCACTTTTTGTGCCAGCAATGCGAAGCCTCTTTACAGTTTCTTCAATTGCTGTGCCAACAAAAGTTGTTTCGGGAACGATTACTCAGGAATAAGGTTTCTAAACAAGATCTCTCTGTTCTTAAAGTTTGGAGAAAAATGTTTCGCTGGAACAATCTTGATTCTGTTGTCTGTAAGTTTGTAGTATAAGGGGGAAAGAAAAACAAGTGAAAACAGGTGAGTCTGGTCAAAACTGAAAGCAGACGATTCCTGAGAAGATGATACCAGACACTCTGTTAACTGAACTTGTACGTAGACTAGTTCGGGCCGGTACTTAAAGAGGGAGCAATGGAGAATTCAGTATTGCAATAATGAGATAATGTTGAAGAGTATTAGAATATATCAGGAATTCCATAGACGACAGTCTTGAATGGGTGCTATTAAAGATTAAGGGTTTGGGCTTTATGCTATTTCGTTGTATACCCAATGATATGGAATTGTAGTTGAGTAAGTAGTCTGTTTCTGGATTTGCACAGGAACTATGTGGAAAAGGTGGTGTTCTGTTTCTGGCTCAAGCCATCTTGAAGCTAAATGCCGTGCCTCAGTTTGCGACATCTGCAAGAGTTCTGGCTGCTGTATCTAGGCTCAAAGCTAAAATACTTTCAATGGTGAGTCTTAGTTATGAAAATCGGTCTTTAAATATTCTCAGGACTTTTATTCTGCTTTAAAATCTAGGACAGCTTATTATTGAATGTATACCCATGTGCAAAATCCTAACTAAACCAGTCACTGCTATCCTTGTTGCAGCTATTGAGCCTTAGTGAAGCAGAAAGTATGTCTTACCTGGATGAAGTTTCCAGCTCGCCAGCAAGCTTGGATTTGGCAAAGTCTGTTGTATTGGAGGTTAGTGTTTGTTCCATCTTATGAATTCTCAGGAATGTTGGTTTTGATCAGCCAGAACATTTTTTTAATTTTCTAGCTGCTTGCTGTTAATTGAGTAGTTTTGATGCAGGTTCTTGAGGTAATGAAGACTGCTTTTGGAAAAGACCCCAGATCTTTTGCTGCATTTCCTGATAGAAGTTACCCGGTGGGGCTTTTGCAACTCAATGCAATGCGCCTAGCCGATATATTTTCCGATGATTCAAATTTCCGATCCTACATGACACATTACTTTGTAAGCTATAATCATCTCTCTCTCGTCTGGGTTTACTTTTGTTATCCTCTTACACAATAATGCTTTGCTTCTATTTATTTATTTTTCACTCTTATTGTACCATCATTGTGCTTTGGTATTCTCTAACATTTGGAGAAGCTAAAATTTCTTATGTCATTACAAACCATTGCATTATCCGCATAATTTTGATACATCTAGTGTGCTTGCATCATACGTTTGTATTTTTCTGAGGAACCTCGCATCGTGCATTTGTATAAAATAGCTTCTAATCAATGAAAATTTGTTTTACTATGCCTTTTGTATGTCCCTCCAGACTAAAGTGATCACTGCAATATTTTTGCTCCCACATGGAGATTTTGTATCCTGTTGGTGTTCTTCTGAACTCCCTTTGAAGGAAGAAGATGGCAGTATTGAGTATGACTCATTTGCAACAGCTGGATGGGTTTTGGATGTATCCTCATCAGTTGACCAACTAAATGCAACAAGTTTAGAATTTCCTGTTACTCCCAGTATTGTGACCCAGGCTTCTTATTCACATCAGAGAACAGCCTTATTTGTGAAAATAATTGCAAATCTCCATTGTTTCATTCCCACCGTCTGTGAAGGTGGTTCTTGATTTTGTAATTCTTTATAATCACCTCAACTGGTACATGTCATTGTTTTGTTGTCATACTAATGGAGTTCTCTATTTTAATTTACAGAACAGGAGAGGAACCACTTTGTTAACAAATTTCTGGAGTACTTGCAAATGGATTTATTGAACACATTGCCCGGATTTTCCCTTGCTTCTGATACTCCTAAAGCTGCAACTATTTGCAGAAATCTACGTAATAATGATCCCTGAATAATCTTTCTGTAAAACATAATTGCAGAAGTAAATCCCTTCCTTACAAGTAAATTCTGTGTGTAGGTTCGTTGCTAAGTCATGCCGAATCATTAATTCCCAATTTTTTGAATGAGGAGGACGTACAGCTCCTAAGGTGATTTACTCTCAACCGTGTTTCATTTTCGTAGCCTTTTAATCCATTATTAATGCTAGAATTTGACCTCACCCTGTTAAGATCGTCTTCGCACACAGTGCTGGCAATGGTCTTGTAGTTGTATAATGGGCTTTACCTGGAATCTACTTGATAGATGTTACAATGATTAAATAGAGATTAGTATATGCTTTATCTATCACTTTTATAATTCAGTACACTAGTTATGTAGTATCGCTTATTTTTATTCATACTTACATGTTAGGGTTTTCTCTAAGCAATTACAATCGTTAATCACTTCGGCTGAATCTGAAGAAACCCGAGTTCAGGTAAAACTTTTATTTTCTAGAAATTGTTCCTATTCGCTTTACCCCTTACATATGTTTGAATGTTTCCAAACAATGATGCTGGCAGGCAAAGAAACACGAGGAGTCAATGTATAGAGATAAATTCGCTAAACTCAACATCAGTGATCATCAGGTAGGTGGCCTGAAAATGCTGGTAGTTATACTTGCATTGTGTGGCCACATTCTTCAATTTTTACTTCAGTATGCTCCACGAGCACAATTAAAATTTAACAAGAGACACGTAGCACTGGGGAGACAAACGGATTATTATCTTTAAAATAGGCATTAATAGTCACTGTTACATGCTTTATTCAATATTTTAAGAGAAATATATTGGCCAGTGGAGTTTGCTAACAGTGATGTAGTTATTTCTCAACATAGTGACCTGAAAGTAAAGTTTGATTCCTGGTAGGAGGCTCAGAGTACTGGAGGATGCTCGCCGCCATTATTGAGTAAACAACCTTCTAATCTTAATAACAGAAGTGCTAACCTAGAGGAAATGTCTGAGAATTCTGATTTTCAAGATGCGGACCAAGTTGATGTCAAGGAAGACAAAGGTTTATCCGGGAATGCATCTGGACGTTTTAGGGTGTATGAAAGAGAAGCTCATAATGTTGAAACGAGTGGTTCAGACACAAGCTCAACAAGAGGAAAAAATGCTGTTGATCAGATGGAAAACAGTGAATTTCCAAAGTCGAGTGCACACGTGAAGGAAAGTGGATATGGGGGAACCCCAGACGATGAAAAGGTTGAAACTCTTCCGTCTGAGGAAAAGCAGCGGAGAAAACGGAAACGAACAATAATGAATGATATGCAGGTGGAACTTGTTGAGAGAGCCCTATTGGATGAACCTGATATGCAGCGAAATGCAGCCTCAGTACAATCATGGGCTGAGAAATTAAGTTTTCATGTAAGTCGATACTTCAAACTTTATAAATAACGTATGATGTATTTATTCACTATATATCAACAACAATACCAAACTTCATGTGACGAAGAAATGTACTATTGTGTTATCCAGGGTTCCGAGGTTACATGCGCACAGCTAAAAAATTGGTAAGCCATCCTCATTTTGATGAATTTGTTTTCCCCACGGCATTGCTTAAAACTACTTTTAGTATCCTAATGCTGTTAATATTTTGATGGGTTTGCTCGTTATGAAAACAATCATTGTTTTGTGTCCGCAGGTTAAACAATCGAAAAGCCAGGCTAGCCCGCACAGCTAAGGATGTTCGTGCGACACCAGAGGCTGACAATGCTTTGCCAGAAAGGCAAGCTGGGCGAGGACAAAGGTCCAATGTCTCCCCCGATAGTCCTGGTGGAGATGCTTCCACCCAACAAAATGCGAGGAGAGATCCTCAAATCATGTTGAGACCTGGTATTGGAGAGGTAGCCGAGAATAACGTGGCAGAAACAGTTGGCAGTTCTGCAGATTTTGCACAGTGCAAGCAAGGTGACTCTGTTGTGCTGGTAGGTGCGAATGGAGAGCAGATCGGAATAGGAAAGGTGTTTCAGGTGCGCGGCCAATGGTACGGTAGGAACTTGGAAGAGGTGAGGGCGTATGTCGTGGATGTTAAAGACCTTAAAGCTAGAAGATCAACGAGGCTTCCGCACCCGTCTATGGCCACCGGCGTTTCATTTGAGGAGGCAGAGACAAAGATTGGCGTGATGAGAGTGTTGTGGGATTCGAACATGACCTTCTTATATCGTCCTCAATGAGTTATGTGCAAGTGAAAGGTTAAATCCCCTCGGCCTCAGTAGAACTAGAAGTCCCCTCTCTTAACTGCAAACATGTTATCGTACCTTCTTGTAATTAGATTTCGAAATTTTCTAGCTTTGAAAAAGTTTTAATTTAGAAATAAACGCTTCAAACTCAATAGTTTAGAAATAAACCAAAATGTCTTGAATCTTGATAACGGGGGATGTATTTCACAACGAAGAATTAATTAGAGCATGACAAGCTTGTTGAGCAACGTCTGAACATCTGAACCGTTCGAACAAGGGTATACAACTCCCCTTCCGTTCGAGCAGTTGAAATAAATTCCAGTGATTTTTATCTCTACACGGGTTTAAATAAAATTTCCCTTACAAGTCTCATGAGATTTAAGCCAAGTTAGTAAGAAATATGCTACAAAACGCAGATAGCGGGGATTAGAAACTCCCTCCGTGTACATTATTGCAAAGGCACGCGCGAGAAATTTGCAAACCCCACTATTTGAAAGAGTCATTTACAAATCTTTCGCATAACTATGTAATGCTCTAGAAGGGCTTTCCCAAATCCTAATCCCCTTTATCTAACTTTTTATGGACCATTCCTTGCTACTTAACTTCAATTCCCTTAAAATTATAAAATCCGTTATCCAAACAGACTTGCAAAACATAAAGAATGGTCCTTTGTGCAAATTAAATATGCGTTTGTTTGTTGCCTGGGGATGATTTGGTTTCACAACACACACAGCCATGCCAACCGAACATCGAGCAATCGAAAACCGCAACGAAATAAGAACAAGCAAGCAAACTGGGACATCAACTCTACTGAGATTCCCATTAGAAATTTGCATCAGAAAACCCAAAGTGTCCCCTATTTCATAAGTTTATTTAAGATAATTTGGCAATGCCCTTTTGACCTCTCAGGCATGCATGCACAAGCAATATCACCACCTAAAATCACTACCCAAATTCACTCCCAAATAGCTCTCCTGTCTGTCAACACCAAAGTCAGCTTTACAGGTTCAAGCTATCTCCCTTTTTAGAGTACTTAAATATTTGGCACAAGCATAAGTTTAAGCAATTTGAGCCGACTAAATGCGCCATATTTCACTTCCGCACAAAGACAATCCCTACTTCCGTCCTTTCTCTTTTTTACCCCTTTTCAGTCTTTTTTTTTTTTTTTTTTTTTTTTTAATACAGAAGAATTTTTTGAAAAAGCACATAGGATAAGATCTCGAAAGATCAGGAATTTCTTTCTTACTTTCGATTATGCAGAAGCCCACTCGAAGTAATGGCAACGGGAGCCTCTGGTGGCGGTCCAGTTTCCGCAGCCAAAGAAGAAGCTCCCTTGCTTTGGCCCTGGCTTGCGGACCATACCTCTGCTGCTCTTCACCCCACAGAAGCATAATGGGTGATGATAATGGAATACGGGAACACCCATCTCCTTCAGTTTTAGAGGGTGGTGTGGTGGTGACATGTGCTCGGGGGATTGCTTCATTGTCATAGGACGGTCAGCAGTCTGCCAGACCAGTGAGTTTGTGATTGCAAATTTGAAACCCCTGCACATGAGAAGAGAAAGTAGGCGAGCGGTGTTTTTGGCATCATCCAGGCCACAGTGAGGACGACCCTGCCATGCCAAGCCTGCCATTTGAACTGCGTCCTTCAAGTTGCACCTAGCACCACCGAAAACCTCACAGAAAGGGACCTTTAAGTTGATCCATCTATCAAGAGAAAATCAACACGCAAACATGAGACCATATTCTGATGTGTTTTCCGTACATATTAAACTCATAATAAAAATTATTTAAAACGTATTCTTATATTCACTACATTGGAGTTGAACAATAGTTTCTTTTATCTGCATTTCTTACCGGTTAAAATACGGAGGCTTTCGAATTTTCTTGAATCGACATTCGGATTCCAACATGACCCGACAGTCCCAGTTTGACCATGTCACAACAGCAAAGTTGGTGTTTTTTATTCCCTTCTTCTCAAGCCATTTGTCATGCCTTAGGAGGGCCTCGCTTAAGGTAACTCCTCTATCCACCTGCCAATACCCAATACCCATATTCATCATCAGTAAATTTTGAGGATCATAGTAAAGGAAGAAGAGAAACACTAATAACACAATTTTACGAAATAAAGTTGCAAATTCCCTTCCATCACATACAGTACTCTAAGAATGTGGTGAGCTCTGGAGACTTAGATGATTCTAAATAAGTACCCACAAAACATGCCATTACAACAAGAAAAACAAATTAAAATATAAAGGCCTCGTTTGGTATAGAGAATTGGTATGGAATGGAGAACCCTTTAGATGTATTTGAAGGTAGCGGATAATTACGGCCATGCATTGATATTGTCCCCACCTTAACCACCTAGGCCCAATCCCTTGGCTGATATCAAGCCCAATGGACCTCAAGTGTGGGTTTTATCTCAAAAGGCCTCGGTGCAATTAGAAGTGGAACACCTAAATTTAAACCTTAGATTATTGTTGTCCTTCTTGGATGCGGGACTCTCTTCCCACCCATCTTGGCTTGTATCAAGCCAGCCTTTCGCACCAACAAACTTCTCCCTTCTAATCCTGGGGAGGATTGGAAATGATAACATTTCTTCTTGAGTAATCTTTCTCCTACCCCCAAGTTGGCCACAAACCTTACATTTCTTCTTTCAGCATGCCTTGAAAATAGTGACTTATCCGTTCCAATCCAATTAACACGGCCATAGTTTCATATAAAACTCACTTTCCGAATCAAAGCCACAAAATGCTTAGCAGTCTTTGAAAGGGAGAAACATAACAAATCTTCAAAATTAACAACATGAAATCATTTATCTATTACTGTTTTATAAATGGACACCCAAGCAACCTTGATCATGAAAATGACAAAATGTGCTTTACTACCACAGGTCTTAATGGCACACAAACACAATCCAGAATTACCATATGCTGTATAGTATCATATAAAAATGTCAGAATGGTCTAACAAGGAATTCACTTTTCTCCAACCACTGTAACACTTAAGAACTATTCCAAATCACATCCAGGTCATCACCAAATCCACTTTCTAACATAAGCATCAGAGGGTAAAAAAATAGAGAACATTTAGGTCCACCCAAGCAAGGGATAAACAATGTCCCTTAGCCAAAGATTAATTAACCATGTCCCGATAAAAGAATAACCTTCTATATAGTGAATTAGATTATAGTACTATAGTACAGTCACCTACCAAAGGCCCCCAACCTAGAAGAGTAATCCCAATGGTAACAGAAAATGCAGCTAACCGTACATGTCTTGTTATAGTGAAAAGAAAAGAAATCTTCAGCTTGAGACGAAAATCAGGGAGAAGAAAGATAGAATACTTCTTAGAGCCGTCTATCCAGCTTTTTGGGTAGAAAACCACTTTAATACCGAGTGATAGATTTTAAGTGTGCTTGGTTGTTAAAAAAACTCATTTTGTAGAACAGTGCTATAGCATCAATTGCGAACTCAATCTACCTTTTATGCTGTATCTATAGACACATGTGGGCAAGTACATTGAAGCTTTAAGATACAAGCATGGTCGCAAAATCTTCCATGCAGCCACAATGAGAACTACTATATATTCTATGATTCATGAATTACATAGTCCACCACTTATATAATGTTTGACCTAATTCAATCCAAGCTGATTGTATAAAATTTATCTTCACAGTGACCATAGGATTCAAAGTATCAGCAGTTTATAATCATCCAAATTCTTCCAGAATTGAACTATACTAAATAGCAAAGTCATGCTGTGCCAATAGCATGTAAGATGTATAAAGAGCAGGACCAGGATTATAGCTTATGAAAGTACCTACCCCAACGAAGGTGCATATTAAGCAAAAAATAAAATATTTACTATTATTGACAACTTTACAGTTGACAATGCTAATTGAACCAATAAAAATCCACAAATTACTCAACCAACATTCCTATCTTTAACAGTTGCAAATATAACATTGATGTAAAACATATGATGGACCCGTAAGATGTGTTCACCTGAACGTATCATGTCAGATAATTAGGATAATGTCACTGAATACAGCCTCTAAGAAGTCTACACAGTATTTTGTTCCTATGGATAAATAAGGCAGGCTCAGTTCAGGACAAACCTGAATTTGCTGGATTCCTGTCAGATCCTTACAGAAATCACTCAAGAGTTGGTTGCATGTTGGTCTCACATAAGTCTGAAAACATGCTTCCAGTTGGCCTGTCATGCTACTCACTATCACAGATGGAAACTCGATTATCTCTTGAGGATGGGGATTTCTATCCTTATCGCAGGTAGCCTCAAAGTCTATTACCACAAAATACTGAAAGTCTTGGAACTGGAAGTCATTTGGGTAACTTTGAGCAAACATATTGAATGGAACATAATGAAATCGATTTTCCATGGGAAAGGGATAAAACTGGCTCTCAAAAGCATTCATCTGGTACTGTTGCACCTTTGAGAGTCATTATGGAAAGTTGACCAGTATCCAAAATCATGATGGTAGGTAGGTTTGTTGTAACATCCAGTTGGAGGTTCAAGAAATTCGCTGCCCAATGGACAGTCTGATTCAGGAACATCCCCAACTGGATGATTACTAGTTTCATCTTTAAGCTCTGGAAATCCTTCAATGGGATTCCCATTACACTTGAGGTTGTACGGGAATCCCTTGTGGAGGCATTTTAGGGAAGCCTCGCAGGTCCTTTCCATATCTTCTGCAACAGGAAAGAAAGAAAATGAGACGAAACACAAACCCATGTCAATGGATAACTGGCATAAACCACCACAGATCAAACAACAAAGAATAGACAAGAGTTTAAAGTGTTTGCAGAACAACATGCAGTATTGCAACCAAATTAAAGCAACTATAACTTTACAGATCACATTTTTTGTGTACTTTAGTAGAAACAATGTACAACTCCAAGAAAAAGAGGTTTAAGATGCAAATGGTTAATTGGCCACCAACCATCATCAACATCCAAGAACACAAGGTCCAATCTTTCAGAATGAGGAGAAACCTACTCTACTGGGTTCAGAGTCCTCTTCAAAGGTCAAATATTTAAATTTCGATCAAATTGTAACATGTAAAGCTGCTAAACTGAAAGAACAACTTTTACTAATATCCTAAACAAATGAGACGAAAGCAAGCAACATAA